AAAAAAATGAAAAGGAAAACGAAAGGAATCATTACTAAAGCAACAGTTCTTTATCGTCTTGTTCGATGTTCTGGGAAAGCCTGAAAAGCAAAACTGGATTAGTGTTTTGATGAGTGAAGATGCGAAAAAAGCTTAGTTTTTTTTTCCACTTTAAAATCGCATATATACACCAGCATTACCAACACCATACATACATTGATCTCAGTGACAAATACATCAAAACAACCATACATTACAAATGCACACAAAAGCGAATCAAAATACAGCAAATGCTTCAATTGTAAATTGTTTAGGACGGGGGCGGGAAAATCCAAAGAAGCGAAGATGGAGAGAAGGGTATAGTGAATTGGGGAAAGATTGTTCAACCATAAAAAACCAATTGGACCTTTGATCTGTTGCTGGTGCAGATCAGATTTGTTTACAGCCAATACATCTTCAATACCAAATATGTCGACATGATACTAATATGTTAAAGTGATTACTGAACGAGTTTAAAGAATAGAGAAAAGAATACAAGAATAAAAAGCCAAAATAAGCCCGTTTTCTTATATCTTCTTCCTCTCCAAAAAAGGTAAATTTTTTTAACATTGCTAAGGTAAATTTTTTCAACATTGCTAAACCAAATTGGATCAACTGAATTGCATATTGGTAAATAAACACCAATAATTTGCTAAACGTTAGTGTAACTTTTTCAGTGTTTTTCGGGAACCGCAAGTGAAAAATAAAAAAAAAAAGAGACTAGCATTTTTAATTTTTCTTGCATTTTCTTCATTTGATTTTGCTTTTTTTTTTTTGCTCTATTTTAATTTAATTTTTTTTTATCAATGTTCTTTTCTCATCTTTTTTCAGCATTTTTTTACGTCTTATCTCTTTTTTTCTCATTATTCCAGTCATTTTGCGGTTTTGTGTTCTTGTTGTTAATTTTTTGTTGGCTGGATGGTGAAGAATGTTCTTCTTTTTTTACATATTCAAAGATCAAACATAAAAGAACAATTGATGCAAAAAAAAAGAAAAAAAGCAACAGCAAGTAACAAAAGTAACAAAACAGAGAAAAAAAAGAGGGAGTTAATAAGAATAACTCGAGAATAGAATTTAATTTTTTCAGATTCTGTAACATCATCATCTGTTCGTTGGAAATGAAGAATCTGCGGTTTGCTGATTTGCTTAGATCTAAAGCCAAGAGGCGGAGACTTTTATGATTACAGGATTTAAGCACCAAGTTTCGTTGCACTTGACAGACACCTTCAACAACCTTGGCTTTCCTCATCTGTCCGGATATTGTTTGGCTGTATTCAGCTGCAGTTGCTGGTTGCTGTTCTGCTGAGAGGTGGATAGTGTAGTTTTTTTCCTCCCCTTCCCCCTTACAGTTATGCTTTTTTTTTTTTTACATTTTTTAGTCATTTTTTTCTTTTGCATTTTATTTCTTAAGTCATAAAAATTACTTAATAAATTTATTGGTGAATCGATAGCATAAAAGCTACGCATAGCTGCTGCTACGTGTTATAATTGTTGCGTATTTTTTTTGTTTTCTTACACTGTTTTATGCTGTGGTATCATAAAGGCTGTCTAAAAAAAACTATGGGCTAAATGAGTCTAGCAGAATTCAGAAAATAAAGCTAATAAATGGTTAAAAAATTGCACGTGTCCGGAATCTGAAGCTTATATTGGTTGTGTGTATCTGTATATCCGCATAATGTAGGAAGTTTATAATGACAACTACATCTAGTGGATAAAGAATTCAACAAGACATTTAAAAAAAACGGTTTAATAACTAAGAAAGACTGGGAAAAAACTGTGAAGAATAAGCGAATAAGGCAAATCACTATATCAAGTGACATTTTCGATAAAATTTTAGTGTAAAATGTTGAGTATATTTTTATAATCTTTTTAATTTATATAGCCTGCAGAAAAAGAAAAGCAAATAAGGTGAACAAATTTGTTTACTATTGCTTTTAAAATTGAAATAGTTTTAATTTTCTTGTATTTTTTGTATAACATGTTTTAAACAAGTTAGGTTTTATCATTACAGACGACATATTTTGCTGGTCTATTCTTGCTCGCTCTACAATCAACAAAAATTTAACCGTCTTTTCTGATTATTAAATTTCTATATGCCTTTGTCTCTTCCCTCGTCTTTTTTTTTGAAATCCGAACAAAAAAGGTTTACTTAATTGTCTAAAAATTTATCTTACAGCTAATTTTTATCTGTTAGCACAAATAACTTATTCGCAAAAGTTGATGAAGAGATTAAAAAAAAAGTTGAAAGTCTAAAAAACTTTTAATAGCACTATTATTTTCGCTTCTGTATCGACGCAAAATTGAATTCTATTACTTCAGATTCAGCTTAAATGGCACACTCAAATAAAACTTCTGTTGTTGGATAACTTTCATGTATTTATAGACCCTACCCGACGATACTGCAAAAAGTTTGCATCAATATACACCAATGGTAAACGTAGAGCTTTTGAAAAAACATGCTGCTCAATATAAGTTGACCAAAGATACGGCTGGAGAATTTCATAAACAGTTAATCTTCATTTTTTTTTCCCAGATTACTATTCTTTACGCAATTTATCTAAACTAATTTGCATTTTATCGCTTTTTTTCTTTTCTTTTTTAGATTATTCAAACTGCATAAAGATGTAGCTGAACACTACAATGCCGAAGACATTGATCCAGATGCAATTCCAAAATCACACAAATTTATAATGTTGGGTATGTCTGAACTGCAGTTCTATTTTCGTCTGCCGGAAGCATTCGGCGAAGAACGACGGTGGCGATCAGCTCTTTCGTCGTTTAAGGAACAGTATGAAGATGTTGGTGTACCACTCAAAGACTTTGAAGTAAGTTTTTTGTCATTTATCTAAAAAAGCGGTTCTGTTTCGCTATCGTAAAAATTAATTAGTGTTATAAATATTTATTCAATTATTTATAGGTAACAGGAAAAAGTAGTTGGTTTTTTGTTTTCCAAACGAACACTTACCAAAGTAAAAAGTTTTGTCATCATTTTTACTGCTTTATCCAACAATTAATTATTGGCTAATCAAAATAATATTAAAGTTTGAGTTCAAAATTCAAATAGCTCACAGAAATGATTGTTAAAGCAAAAACAAAAAAAAACAGACAAAAATTTTGTTTTTTTTTTTCATCTTTTCCCAGTCTTCTTCAACTCTTCCGTAATGTTTTACTCGTTATCTGTTTATCAGATAATTATTAAGCGTTAGAATATAAAAACGTTTTTTTTTTCCAGTCAGAAATTCTTGCTAATTTTTCAACCAAAAAAAAAAAAACTTACTAAGCTGTAAAAAATATATGTAAACAGAGAGGAAAGAAGAACGGTAGAGGAAAAAAAAAAAGGAAAAATTGAAAACCAATGTGCTTAGTTGCTGCTATTCTTTTTGTTTTTCTTCCCTATCCCCTCCTTGTCCCCTCTTCCCTCTACTGCATTTCCTCAACCCGTTCCCTCTCTTCCCATTATCCTTCCTTCCACCCGTTCCATCGCCCCGCATATCCCGTAATTTTTTTTTTGGTTTTCCTTTCTGACACAAAAAGAAAAAAGGAACTTTTGGTACATAAATATCACTGTTAACAATTTATACATGTGTATTTTTCATTGCATTGGACGCTTGAACACTTGGTGCAGCATCTAATTTATTGCTTTTTTAGTCTTACTACTCATCTTTAGCTACATCTAAAAAATTACTTCCAAAAAAAAAAAAAAAAA